TTTTGCACTAAAACATTTCTGTTAAATTGTTTACAAGTCATTAAATTTATTAAAACAACTCAACCGTCAATTAAATACCAATTATTTTTTTGTTACTAGCGTAAATGATCTTCTTAAACTTATTTCAATTTAGTGTTTTGCTAAAAATAATTGTATTTAATATTGTTTTAATATTTAAACTTTATATTTTTTATTTTTGTTTTACTAGAACTTCATCTGAACTCAAAAGTACTAACGAGCCTCTTCACTTGGTCTTTCAAAATAAAACTGATTATTTTTCCTAAACTACACTAGTCTACACTGATATTAAAAGCAATAGTATATCAAATTACTTCTCAAAAAGCACCTGAATTGCACACACACATACACACCTTCAGAAGTTCACAATTTTAGAACTGCCTGCACTACAGCTGTGCTGCTGATCACCGTGACGCACTCCTGTATGCACTTTCAATGTCCACCTACCTTCCCACGCCCATCTCTGCGATGATGTCCACCAATTACTCACTGCTGGCATTCGATCCTATGCGTTCCTTCCTTGCCCGCAACCTCCAGTCCTCCTCCTCCTCCGCCCACTCCGGTGAGCACTCTGGTCAGCATCCCGCCTCAAGCAACTCCCCACCGTCGCCCACTAGCAGCAGCAGCCTCTCACAGCTGTCGCCCGAAGCAGCGGCAACCTTGGCGCAAATGCAATCGGTGAGTGCGTAGTGACAGTGACCTCGCTTTAACCTAAACGGACCACTTCACACTATCGCCTATCTTCCTCTATTCTTTCTCTCTACTTTTATTCTGTGCACCATCTTTTATCCCCACCTGGGCAACTGTTTTTCACCAACTATTTTTTCTTTGTTTTTTGTATTCGGCACCTTTCCAAACTATTTTAGATGTGATTGTTGAACACAATTTCGTTGCTTGTACCTAAAGCGGTGAAGCAGAAGCATTCGAGTTTAGGAAGGGGAAGGGCGTCAGCAATTGCAGCCACGGCAGCAGCCGCCACAGCAGCCGCAGCAGCAGTACAGTGCACCCAAATTGCCCGCACAATCTCTTCCCCTCTTTCTCTCTGCGAGGAACACACAAATCTCCGGCCTTAGAAAGACACATACACACACCTACTGACCTTAGTGACACACGATCTACGACCAAAGGAACAGAACAAAGCTCTCACTTTGAAAAAAGTGGCTCTTTTGCAAGGCATCTAAACACTAGAGAGAAATAACTCCCCTCGATGCTCTCTAGAATGGTTAATATAGGAGTCAAAAGAATGGTTAGAACCAACTGAACCCCTCTGGAACGTCTGGCCCATGAAATGCTAATGATGTCTCTTCTTTGTTTGTGTTGCACCTACTTTTATTTAGATTTGCGGTCCAAAAAACTACTCACTTCACCGATCAATGAACGGCGTTGGTGGAAGCGGCAACGCCAGCCCTGACCACGGTCGACTCACACCCGGCGACAACGGCCCCAACGGCAATATCCTCTCTATGGCAGAGATGGCCCACAACATGCACAAGATGATGCCCATGCATGGACTTGACCTGCAGCAGGGTCTGCCGCCGCAGCACCTCACTGGTGGGCCACAACAACAACAACAACAACAACAACAACAACAACAGCAACAACAACAGCAGCAACAACAACAACAACAGCAACAACAGCAACAACATCATCAGCAACAGAGTCATAGAGGAGGACATGGAAGTCATGGAGGGCAGCTGATGCATGGCCATCATGGCAATGGTCTGGGCGGTGGCCATTCAGGCGGTGGCAGCGGTAGCGGAGGTCCGTTGACCCACCTGGGCGCCTCACACGGCAGTGGTAGCGGTGGCAGTGATAAAGACTTTCTCTGTGAGTCATGTGGCAAGAGATTCACGCAGAAAGGTAAGTTGTCCCTTTGCTTAAANAGCGGTAGCGGAGGTCCGTTGACCCACCTGGGCGCCTCACACGGCAGTGGAAGCGGTGGCAGTGATAAAGACTTTCTCTGTGAGTCATGCGGCAAGAGATTCACGCAGAAAGGTAAGTTGTCCCTTTGCTTAATTGGCACTTTTAAACGCGAGAACTTCAACTGACTCAAACTTTATGCCAAACTAAACTCAGGCAATCTGAAAACGCATATCCGTTCGGTACACACCAAAGAGAAGCCCTTCAGCTGTCCAGTCTGTGGGAAGTGCTTCAGTCAAAAGGGAAACATGCAGACACACGTGCGGACGCACAACAAGGACGACCGCTTTCCCTGCAACCTTTGCGGTAAGACGTTCTCGCAAAAAGGTAAGAGTAAGTGACCATCACAACTGTGCATGTCCAACTGCTGACGCCTGCATGCTGTGACCGGCGACCACTGAGCACACCACTGACACACACAACCTCCCAACAACCTCTCAACAGGGAACCTGAAGACTCACATGCAGCGACATNGCATGTCCAACTGCTGACGCCTGCATGCTGTGACCGGCGACCACTGAGCACCCCACTGACACACACAACCTCCCAACAACCTCTCAACAGGGAACCTGAAGACTCACATGCAACGACACGCGGGCACTCTGCCGCCCTCCAAGCGAACCGGCCACCAGAGACGGGGATCATCAGTTTCCAATGGCACTCGAAATGGGGGCACCAATGGAGGCGGTGGGGGAAGTGGCGGCGGCGGCAGTGGAGGAGGTGCAGGTAACGGTGGCGGCGGAGGCCTTCCCCCGATGGGTCCACTTGGCCAAATGGCACACGGCGGCTACCACGGAGCAGGTGGAGTGCTGGACCTCGGCCCGAGCGCCCAGCTGCCCTCGTCCAGTCCGTCACACCGGTCGTCCAGCACCGACGACGACGACTGCTCCTCGCCGATGAGTGATCTCGCCCTCGGTCCGCCCAGTCTGATTCCCTCAATGGGCGGCGGCAATGGGTCGATTCAGCACTCGATGAGTCAGCTGCATCATCGCGGCGGCCTCATCGGCTCTATGGGCGGCCTAAACGGGCCGAATCACCCGGGCAGCAACCACCTGTCGGCACATCGTGAGTCATCATCGCAGCACGTACTAGCATAGTGCTCTAGTGCCCGACATGTGTTAAACCATTTTTTGTTTTGTCCTGTCCCCCCTCAGCTTCCTCCCTGGGCTCTGCCGGCTCTGGACCTAATTCGCGCAGTCCACTGTCCAGCCCTGGACCGGACGGCGGTCACAACAGTCCCTCTCTGCCGCTGTCAGTCTCTCCCTTCAGCGCATCTCCTTCCTCCTCGTCAGCAGCGGCCGCCCGTGTCCTCTACTCGTCGCCCTCGCCGATGACCCCCCTGGCGGCCCACTCCTGGGTCACCTCGGCTGCTGGCAGCTCCGCTCCGCCCACCGTCAACTTCAGCTCGGTCTCACACAAGGCGGCGGCCGCTGCAGCGGCCGCCGCGGCCGTCGCCCACCAGCAGCATCAGGCCCGATCGGCGGCCGCCTTCCACGACCCGTTCAGCAGTCTGGCGGCGGCTGGCCACCCCTACAGCAGCTTTCCCAACCACCCGCTCAGTCGACTGTCGCTCTTCAGCGGCATGGCGGGCATGCATCCTCTCTCCGCGGCGGCAGGCATCGTCGGCAGCAATGGAAACGTGTCCGCGCCAGGTGGTGGTGCTGGTGGTGGCAATAATGGCAATAATGGAGCATCCGGGGCAGCTAGTGGCGCCCACCCGCCCACCGTCTCCAGTCCCTCCGGAGGACTGAACGGCAGCAGAGGCGGAGAGGGCAGCAGTGCCAACAACGCCAACAATGGCGCCAATGAGGGTGAGGCTGCAAGAGACGATGACCGCCCCGAGTCGAGTCGCAGCAACAAGTCAGATTCACCCACCTCGTTGGTCATTCCCAGGCCAGGTAAGCAGAGCGGTGAAAGGACGTGAGATACTCAGTTTACTTATTTCTCTTTTCTACTCTAATGTTTGACAGAATCCAAGTGGTAAAACTAAGAATAGTAATAATTTTCAGAACCTGAAAGGCAAAAGTCGTGATCCGAACTGATCTTCAAGCAACTCCGTTAGAAACGGGACCTGATTTTTCGTCAAGCAATTCTTGGTATCTCATTTCATCATCGCTCTCCCTCTTCTTTCCTTCATCTCACCCCCTTTTTCCAGATCTAGTCTTCGTATATACTACACCCCACTCTTTTTTTGACTCTCCATTTTGTCTAATTTTATCCACTCATTTTTGCGACTGAAACTTTCCAGACACACACCTTCACTTTTTGCACCAAACTATCCCGCCTCCTCTTTCACCACCTCCTTTTTTCGGTCATCCCTTAACTTATTTTCCTTTTCTGTTTCCTTAATTTATTATTCATTTTTCTTCCTCACTCACCTTCTCCTCTTTCCTCTTTCTCCTCAACCATTTCCCA